GACAGCCACCTCCACACCCCGATGTACTTCTTCCTCCTCAATCTGTCCATCCTAGACATCGGATCCACCTCTGTCATTGTTCCCAAATCCATGGCCAATTCCATACTGAACACCAGGTTGATTTCCTATTCTGGATGTGTCACCCAAGTTTTTTTAGTTCTCTTTTTCATTGCAGCAGACCTCTCCATCCTCACCATCATGGCTTACGACCGATATATCGCCATCTGCAAACCACTGCACTATGCGACAGTGATGAACAGGAGAGCTTGTCTGCAAATGGCAGCCGCGGCCTGGAGCACTGCTCTTCTGTACTCTGCCCTGCACACGGGGAACACCTTTAGGCTGCCCTTCTGCCACTCCAACATCGTCAACCAGTTCTTCTGTGAAATCCCCCAGCTCCTTAGGATCTCTTGCTCAGAGGTGTTTACTAGTGAAATTCAGATTCTTATCTTTGGTGCATGTTTAAGTGCTGGTTGCATTGTGTTTATATTTGTGTCTTATATTCAGATATTCAGTACTGTACTGAGAATCCCCTCTGAGCAGGGCTGGCATAAAGCAATTTCCACCTGTCTTCCCCACCGTACTGTAGTCTTCCTGCTGGGTAGCACTGGTATAATTGCCTATATGAAGCCCACATCTGGGTCCCCATTAGCTCTGGATCTCATGGTGTCTGTGCTGTATTCTTTGATCCCACCAATGATGAATCCGGTCATCTACAGCATGAGAAACAAGGATATCAAAGCAGCACTATGGAAACTGGTGAGATTGAAGTGGTTATTCTGACAAAGATGTCAGTTATTCTTCAGTGACTGTGGTTTCACTGAACTTCTTTATAGAAACAATCAACTGTGTTATTAATATAGATTAATTCCACCAATTCCCATTTTGTTGCTTTAGCACTACACCATTTAAAGTAATCTCTGTATTTAATTTGAAGCTCATCCCCCTGAACTAGTTAGTCTTTAAGATGCTGCTTTGCCCTAGCTACTGTCTCAGTGTCTGTTGAAATTCGGCTTTGAATGCTGATATTGTCATTTGTTACTTCACTATTGCAACACCTTGTACATACCTTTTATATCTCTAAAAATCCCTTTTGAAGAATATCATGAAATCTTTCTCCTTTCTGTGTTAAAATGTTTTCTTGAGGTTTGATTATTTGAGATCTGGAAGGAGGGTAGGAGAATGTTTAAGGGGTAGTGATAATAGTTTTTAGGTAGGAGGTGTCAGTGATCACTCTGGTGCTGGGAGTCTTAATCATGATTTCCTTGTACAGGTTTTGCAAGGGAGCTAATGGTTTCTTCCACACCGTGCTGAAGGGTTGGAAATGATTTCTTCTAAGTGTCTACTCACTTCAGCTTCTATACAAATCATGACTGTAGTGATGCTGGATTTAGGTTGTCCTTCTATTTCACCACCTGGAAACAGTAGATAGGTGAGCCTGGGGATTTTGGAAGGTGATTTAACTATGTCAAGCCAAAATGGAAAAGCTGCCCTAGGATTTAATGTAGGAAACTAAAGACAAAAACATTGAAACAAGCACAGTAAGTAATTTATTCAATTCCATAATGTGTGGCTTTTAATAGAAAGGATCTTTTATAGAAATTATAATGAGTTATATTTAAAATTATTTCAGAACTTTATTCTCCATTTAATAACATCTCTACAGTTAGAAAAATTAAGGATAGAAGTATTTGCATGAACAATAGCAAACTTCTGTCCTGAAATGTTTACCATTTCTACAGTAATATAACTGAGCGGGGAAGCAGGACAGCAGCCCAAGGAACTGCCTTTGTGGAGGGGGGAAATAGCCATGACCACAGGTCGGCAGCATGGCAGGCAGAGCTGCCCTGTGCATCACAGCCTGCCCTGGGCTTGGAGCTGCCCTGCTAGCATGTCTCCCTCTTTATCAGTAACCCCTGAAGTACCAAGAGTCATTTAGTTTGCTGACCACTGAAGATTTTCAGACAAAACGAATAAAGAAAAGGTCAAATATCTTTGAAATACATGACTTACAAAATATAGAAACCATGCAGGGATGTTGACAACCCACGCTTACATATATTTCTTAGACTTGAAGCCAGTTTAAACACACAGCCTTGTGCACATCCTGCCAGCCATTTGATTGCAATCTTTCCAGATGACTTAGACCATAAGATGCTGGCTGTGACTAGGCTCTATGTCCCTACAAAAATGGAAATACAATGGGATGACCGTTTTGACTTCATAATTTCATGCTCAGCTGCCCATGGGTAAGATTCAGGCACTGACATTCATGAATTGATAGAATTTGGGGTTATAATTATTCCCTTTTCCCAGGTCACATGGACTTGCAATGGACCTGCACCTGATGTGAACTCACATGGCCCTTTGGACTAGAAAGGAGCTGGAGCGGTTTATGGCAGTGTGACAGTGCACTGATAACTTCTTCACTTTCACTGACGTGGGAAATGTATGAGCGCTAGTGAGTGGCAGTGACAAGGTGTCGGCAAAAGCTCTGATAAAATACTTTTCCTGCCCACTTTTTCAATAAAATGCTGCAATTATACAATTTTTCTTTTTAATGTATCATGAAAAACATTGTCCTTTGGGAACCCTGATTTCTATCAGAAAACTCCTTTTCAACTGAAAATCAGGTGGACCTCTAAAATAATCAAGTAAAGGAGAATTGTGGCTCAGAAAATGGTGTTTTTTTCTGACACAGTCATTCCCTTTCCCTCCACAGGCATCCCTAAAGGCACTGTAGAGGATGACGTCCAATTGTACCGCGGTGACTGAGTTCCTGCTCCTGGGGTTCTCCGATGCCCTGGGATTGCAGATCTTGCACTTGGCCACTTTTCTAATAATATACCTGGCAGCCCTGTTTGGCAATCTCCTTGTTATCACGCTCATAGCTGTTGACAGCCACCTCCACACCTCCACACCGGATCCATCTCAGTCATTGTTCCCAAATCCATGGCCAATGCCATACTGAACAGCAGGCTGATTTCCTATTCTGGATGTATCACCCAAGTTTTTTTCTTCCTCTTCTTCATTACAGCAGACTTCGCCATCCTCACCATCATGGCTTACGACCGATACATCGCCATCTGCAAACCACTGTACTATGCTACAGTGACGAACAGGAGAGTTTGTCTGCAAATGGCAGCCGCGGGCTGTAGCGCTGCTCTTCTGTACTCTGCCCTGCACACGGGGAACACCTTTAGGCTGCCCTTCTGCCACTCCAACATCGTCAACCAGTTCTTCTGTGAAGTCCCCCAGCTCCTTAGGATTTCTTTCTCTGAGGTGTTTACTAGTGAAATTCAGATTCTTATCTTTGGTTCATGTTTAGGTCTTGGTTGCATTGTGTTTATATTTGTGTCTTATATTCAGATATTCACTACTGTACTGAGAATCCCCTCTGAGCAGGGCCAGCATAACGCAGTTTCCACCTGTCTTCCCCACCTCATTGTTGTCTCCTTGCTGGGTAGCACTGGGATGATTGCATATATGAAGCCCACATCTGGGTCCCCATCAGCTCTGGACCTCATGCTGTCTGTTCTCTATTCCATGATCCCTCCGATGATGAATCCGGTCATCTACAGCATGAGAAACAAGGACATCAAAGCAGCTCTGTGGAAACTGGTGAGATGGAGGTGGTTTATTCCAAAGAAAATGTCAGTTATTCTGCAGTGACTGAGGTTTTACAGACCATTTTTATAGAAACAGAGTTATTAATACAAATTAAATCCACCAATGTCAGTAGTGGAGCTTTATTAGAAACAATCAACTGAGTTATTAATACAGATTAATTGAACCAATGTCAGTTGTGCTTCTGTAGGTTTACACCATTTAAAATAGTTTATCTAATTTTAAGATTGTCTCACTGAACTACTTGGTCTCTAAGATACCACTCTGTCCTAGCTAATCTTCTTGTCTGTGTTAAATTTTATCTTTGATGCTGAGACTGTCATTTGTTAGTGCACTATGCAACACCTTGTACATACCTTCAATGTTTGTAAGATTCCCTCGTGGAGAAGATCACTGGATCTTTCTCTTTTCTGGATTAAAAAGTTTTCTTGAGGTTTGACTATTTGGGATCTGGAAGGAGGGTATGAGAAGGTTTAAAAGGGAGTGATAATGGTTTTTAGATAGTAGGTGTCAGTCATTACTCAGGTGCTGGGGCTTTCAGTCATGCTTTCCTTGAACGGGTTGTAAAAGAGCACTGAGGGTTTTCCTCCACACAGCGCTGAAGAGATGGAAATGATTTCCTGTAGGTGTATAAACACTAGAGCTCCTGTGCACGTCATGACTGCAGTGATGCTGGATTTTTTTTATATCTCTAAAAATCCCTTTTGGAGAATATCATGAGATCTTTCTCCTTTCTGTGTTAAAATGTTTTCTTGAGGTTTGATTATTTGAGATCTGGAAGGAGGGTAGGAGAATGTTTAAGGGGTAGTGATAATAGTTTTTAGGTAGGAGGTGTCAGTGATCACTCTGGTGCTGGGAGTCTTAATCATGATTTCCTTGTACAGGTTTTGCAAGGGAGCTAATGGTTTCTTCCACACCGTGCTGAAGGGTTGGAAATGATTTCTTCTAAGTGTCTACTCACTTCAGCTTCTATACAAATCATGACTGTAGTGATGCTGGATTTAGGTTGTCCTTCTATTTCACCACCTGGAAACAGTAGATAGGTGAGCCTGGGGATTTTGGAAGGTGATTTAACTATGCTAAGCCAAAATGGCTTTCAAGCTGCCAGTCCCTCAATTCGTCCTCCCTTCCAACAAGCAGCCTATCCTATGAAATCCAATAATTCCAGGAGCATGGCCTTTCTTAGAAATGATGAAGCAGCAAACTCGGTGGAGACCAGAATCTGGTACTGTACAACTACATGGAAATTGGGATTACTGTTCCACCCCAAATCCGGCAAAATATGAACTGTGTTTTCCTTTCAAATCAGATAGAATAATCAACATTCCCCAGTGAAAAGAGTTTCTAACAAAAAAAAAAAAGAAGAAAAAGTTTCTTCTCCAAGAAAATACTGCTAGCAATTTAGAAAACTGTCCAGAATTGACACCCAAAAGGGCAATTTTGAGAGTAAGGAATTGGATTGTTTTGACTGATATGGACACACAGTTTCATAGTTTCATAGTAGCTCGGGTCAGGAGGGACCTGAACAGATCATCTAGCCCGCCCCCCTGCCACAGGCAGGAGTGTATGCTGGGTTCACAAGACCCCAGACAGGTGATCATCCAACCTCCTCTTGAATTTGCCCAAGGTAGGGGCGAGGACCACTTCCCTGGGAAGTTGGTTCCAGATTTTGGCCACCCTAACTGTAAAATATTGCCTTCTGATCTCCAACCTAAACCTATTCTCCATCAGCTTATGACCATTGTTCCTTGTCACCCCAGGTGGTGCTGGGCAGAAAAGGGCTCTACCTATTTGCTGTTGATCCTTCAAAATTACAGATTTCATAGACATTACGGCTGGAAGGGACCTTGTCAGATCATCGGGTCCAGCCCCTTGCCCAAGGGGCAAAGGTAGGGGCAAAGGATCCCAGCATGATAAGCATCAAAATGTTTTTTAAAAGTGTTCAGAGCTGGTGCTTGCACCACCTCGGGGTGGGGTCTATTCCAGTGACTCGGTGAATCCGTGTATAATCAGTGAATCCAGGGGTGTTTGTCCCTGGCCTTTGCTTGTGAGCTGTGCAAGGCTCTAGGGACCGAGTCCCACGAGCTCTTAGGAAAGATGCATAGAGAAATCACTGCGCTGACGCTTCAGTCCTTTTATTTGAGCAAGGCTCCATG